TAAGTAAATACATTGTTTCATGAAAAAAAGCAGCTAATTCAGCTCACATCTCAATCACACAAGTGCCTCTCTTAAAAAGTGTGTAAGTTGAGAATATCAGTGGAGATTTGGGTCAGCTCAGGTAATAGTTATAGGCCCCTTATATGTAGTCTCCACAATTAATCTGCCTTAACATCCAGCACGTGGTACCTTCTATGCGCCTAATACTGAGCATCATTTAGCTTGTTTTCCATGCATTCGCTTTTCTTTTGTTTTGTTTATTGCACAGTGTGTGCCAGGTGAGAAAAGCCACACAGACATGGGCTAAAATGGCACAAACTTTCCAAAGAATGTGTGAACAACACTACCTACATTGCAATGATAGAGAGCAAAAGGGCCATGCACAGCACAAGACTGGACAGGGCCTGGGGGAGGAACTCCCCTCCCTCGCTGTGCTCCTAGAGGACACGAGGGGCGGTGGCATTGTTTAAGCATTTGCTGCCTCGAGGGAGAGAATTTGCTGGACAGAAGCAAGAGGCAAGGACATTCTCCTTTTGGCAGTCTGTTTTCTCAGCTGCAGCTTTTAACTCGAAGTAACATTGTACTTGGGCCACTTTAACCACAAGAATTACTGAGAAAGAGCAGATTGAATGCATGACTCATTTCACTGTGATTGGCTGTGGATTGTTTAAATAAATCACACAAAACAGTTTTCTTACCTAATTCACAGTTTCGAGTTTAAAATGAATAAAAAGCTGGGGGGGTAGTAGTACTTATTCCTGGTACAAAGTAACATTTATCCAAGCACTCCATACTCGGCCTAGCAACAGTCATGCAAAGGCTGAGAGCAGCACATCTGTGCAGAGTGGGCGCTGACCCCAGAGGTGCAGGGGCGAGCCTTCGGAACTCCTTCACTGCAGCTGAAACGGGCAGACTTTCTGTGCCGTTTAGAAGGAAACGTAGATGGTCAAAAAGTTTCTTTAACTCACTTGAAGCACTAAAATCATTTGGATAAAACTTCCTTTGTACCTAAGGAACATTTATTCAGAATAATTCTTAGATCCATGGAGCTTAACAGTGTTCAAAAGTGTCGAAAAGCTTTCTGCCAGCTGAGTTCGGCTCCTGTCCTGCCACATGTGCCTCCACAGGAGTCCTCAAACTGTCTTGAAAACTCCTTGTCATTCTGAATAATGAAGAAAGCCCCCCAATTTTGAGTTATCTATCAATTATATTTATTAGAAATCAAAACAGAAAATTTTTAAATAATAATTATTAACAATTATTTAGATAATGGTAAAATTTTTAGGTACTAATTCATCAAAATTTTGTATGTATTATATATTAACAGAAATAATATGTTGCAATGAAAAGTAAGTACATTTTAAAAAACAAAAATAGTGAGGAAAGTGGTACAGTTTTATATTCTGGCAAATCTTTTAATGTCTGGCTGAATAGAAGACAGTAGAATTGATTCTCAGATCTGCTTCTGCATTCAGGCTGCTGCAGTAGGTTGCCACAATTAATGTATATGAAGAAAATTCAGCCTCAAACAGAAATGTAATTGAAAAAGTATTTTAATAGCCTTCTTAGATGTGGATAAAATGAGAGTTCCTGTGGCCAGGATTCTCACCTGGCCCTGGTTGACTAGCTCATTGCACATCTGTGGGCAATATGTGGCTGTTGACTCTATAAAAAGAGCTCTGTCTAGTGCTCTGTGCACAACATGGTGGCAAGGCTGCAAGGCTGCAGGAGAGCAGAGCAGAGGCTGGAGTGGTGGCAGCACTGAGGACAGAGGCCCAGAGGATGGCTGTGCAGGATGACTGTGCAGAGAGACCTGGAGGACATCTGTGCAGGGTGGCTGTGTGGACAGAGGGACCCAGAGGCAGCGACTGGCTTGCTGCCTGCAGACTCACTCTGAGTGAATGGGATTTTAGTGACTGACGCCACCTGGAAATGAAGTTGGGTATAACCCTTTCACCCCAAGAACGTTTTGCTGTCAATTTCTTTGGTCACATTGAATCCATAGCAAACTTGCCCAGGGCTGAAACCCATTGGCAAGACAATTGGTGTAGTCAGCAGGATTTGTTGTTGACCAAGGAAAAAGACAGGCTGCCTTTATGGAAGGGGTGCTTCAGTGCGCTGCCCCTGTGAATGGGGAGACAGTGTATTGTCCCCCAATGGGTATGTGGTGTGAGGTGGCTTGCCTCCTAGAGGACTGGGCCCCACCCCAAGACTGGAGGCAAGTGGAGGTGATACCTGAGGCTGTAGAGGTGGCCCTTGGTATATAGTAAGTAGATCCTTTGAGAAGCAGAGTGCCCATGAGGCAGCGGGGACTGTGGGTTTGCTGCTTCTCACAGTATTTAAAAAGTCTACAGAAGAGACCCAAGAAATGGCAGCACGAGAACACGAGCTGCAAACTTCTGTGGATTCCCTGAAGAAAGAGATGGCATTGATACAAGAGCATGGGCAGCAAGGTGTCATTGGAGATGAGACGGCAGTGCTGCCAGGTGTTCTGAAGGAGGAAGAGGCCATCAAGAAAAAAGATGAACTCCTGAGGAAAGCACAGATGGAGGTGGCACTAGAACATCAGCTGCGAAGCATTGAGGTGAAGGTAGGAAAGCTTCTGAAGACTGAGCAGGCATTGTTGCAAGGCACTGTAGCAGAGAAGGCACTTGAGGGAGTGGAGAGAAAAGTGCCATCAGCCCCAGAAATGGAGGAGCTGGGGAAGGATGAAGGGGTGGTGCCAGTGGCACTGGCCTCTCCTGAATTGAAAGCACACCCAGTGGTTGTAAAGAAAATAAAGACCCAGCAACTTAAAATTCCCCAGGTCGGGGAGCGCTCTATGGCCCACCCCTGTACTCAGGCTGAGCCGGTGGCTGTGGGACTTAGGGGTGGATGGAATTGTTCTGTCGGGATCAGAGATGGGAAAGCTGTCTTCCCTGACAGTGCAGCCTGCCTTGAGGCAGCGATTACAAAATGCGAGGTGACACGTACAGTAGCTGAAGCAACGAGAACTGGAAAGAAATAAGACCTGTTACTCACAGGAGGAATTTGAGGGGCCTCGTGAGGGTTACGGGAACCCAGATGTGGGTTGATTTGATACAGGCAGGAGTAGATGGAAGGAAATTAGATGGGAAGCCAAATAGGATCTTACTGGAGCTATGGCAACAACTGAAACCAGAGTAGCAGTTCCAGCCATTAAGACCAAAGAGGCAGAGGTCAGAGACAGAGTCATGAGTCCAGCCTGTGTGTCTGCAAGACTTTTTGCTGGACAGGCTGGAGAACTATGTTTGAGCTTCCTTGCACAGTGTGGATAAAATGAGAGTTCCTGTGGCCAGGATTCTCACCTGGCCGTGGTTGACTAGCTCACTGCACACCTGTGGGCAATACATGGCTGTTGACTCTATAAAAAGAGCTCCACCCAGTGCTCTGGGCATGACATGGTGGCAGGGCTGCAAGGCTGCAGGAGAGCAGAGCAGAGGCTGGAGTGGGGGCAGTGCTGAGGACAGAGGCCCAGACGACAACTGTGCAGGCAGAGAGACCCAGAGGATGGGTGTGCAGGACGGCTGGGCAGAGAGGCCCAGAAGATGGCTGTGTGGACAGAGGGGCCCAGAGGCAGAGACCAGCTTGCTGCATACAGACTCGCTCTGAGTGAATGGGATTCTAGTGACTGACCTGCCATCTGGAAATCAAGTTGAGTATAACCCTTTCACCCCAAAGAGCGTTCTGCTGTCAATTTTCTTTGGTCACACTGAATCCATAGCGAACTTGCCCGGGGCTGAAACCCATTGGCAAGACACACAGGAACCATTGCAGAGGACTAAGGGCATAGAGATTGAGAGGAGAGAATCCTGGAGGGGTGGAGTGTGGATAAAATGAGAGTTCCTGTGGCCAGAATTCTCACCTGGCCCTGGTTGACTAGCTCACTGCACACCTGTGGGCAATACCTGGCTGTTGACTCTATAAAAAGAGCTCCACCCAGTGCTCTGGGCATGACATGGTGGAAGGGCTGCAAGGCTGCAGGAGAGCAGAGCAGAGGCTGGAGTGGTGGGAGTGCCAAGGACAGAGGCCCAGAGGACAGCTGTGCAGATGACTGTGCAGAGAGGCCTAGAGGATGGCTGTGTGGGATGGCTGTGCGGACAGAGGGGCCCACAAGGGCCCAGAGGATGGTTATGAGGACAGAGGGGCCCAGAGGACAGCCATGCAGACAGAGGGCCCCAGAGGCAGAGACTGGCTTGCTGCATGCAGATTCTCTCTGAGTGAACGGGATTTTAGTGACTGACCTGCCACCTGGAAATAAATTGGGTATAACCCTTTCACCCCCAAGAACGCTTTGCTGTCAATTTCCTTGGTCACATTGAATCCATAGTGAACTTGCCAAGAGCTGAAACCCACTGGCAAGACATTAAATAAGTGTGACTGTTCTTATACATTACACTCAAACTCAACAAGCTGTAGTTCCTTCAACCACTTCAGTGAACTTTTCATTGTCTATTAATCCATTGGTCTTATCTTGCATTTTGAATGGATCGTTTACTTACGGACAATTTGTGACCTCACTTGTCTTTTAGAAAATCTAGATCTTCCAACAGTTAACACATTTAATATACTTTATTAGCTAAATCTCCTTGTTCATATCACCGCCAATCTCATCAGAAAAGTTTTTAAGTGTTTAGGAAACTGTCAAACTCATGATGGCAGGTACAAGATTTCCAAAATTCTAACTTTCTCTTGAAAGCCCAATTTTTATCATCGGCCATAAACACCGCCACTCAGTTTCCCTGACATTTTTGACTCACTCCCTTTGTTTGCAAGAAAATTCCTGCCAAATTCCTGACAACCACAGTTGGTGTGTCAGTTGTTCTTTAAGTAAGAGTGGTTCCATGAAAAAAAGCAGCTAATTCAGCTCTCCTCTCAAACACACGTTTTCCTCAAGACAAAGATCACATTTTGAAATACAACAGAAGAGCTTTACATGTAATTTCCCATTTTGCCACACAGACCATTAAAAAGATACTCACTGAAGGTCTAGATTTAATGGAATCTGCTGGCACAGCTTGACCTGGACATTCCAGGTGAGACGTGGCTGCGGCCTTGTGGCCTGCACTTGCTGGACACCATCATCCGTTGACACAGTAGACAGAGAAAAGGCCAAAACATCAGCATTACTATGAAAATAGCTTTCACCTATGGACCCCGCAAGGCCCTCGGGGACATTTAGGGGTCTGCGGACCACACTTTGAGAACTGTGGCCTTACAATGTGAAGAAAAAAATAAACTCAAAACCACTGGAGTCTGAATGCTTAGCTAAGAACTTCACAATTTATTAGCTGCCTGAGCACAGGGAAGCTGAACTCTCAGATGCATGACACAGAAATATTGAAAATGGACATGTCAGTGTGTAAGGACTGTGCACATAAAGTCAGTGCCTAGAATACAGGCCGTGGAGCAGAGACGTGGGCAGGGAGCTCACGGACAAGGTCCCCGAGGAAACCGGGGTGCTCTGGGGCTGACACAGCCGCGCAGCCATCCCAGGGCCTTCACAGGGCCGCGGGCAGGATGAGGGCATGGCCCTGCTCGGAAGCGGCGGCCGGGAAGGAGGCCGATGGGCGTCCCACGGGGAGGCACGCCAGGCGCTGAGGCTAAGCGCGAGACGCCGCTCCTCTGGGTCTGGGGAAGCCAACTCAAAAGGCAAGATGGATTCTAGGGTGGTCCGGGCAGAGAGGACCCCACTGAGCCTGGTTTCCACAAAGCTGACCGGTCCCCGGAGTGCCTGTAGGCCATGGGGGTAGAGGGGTCCCCATCCTTCCTAACTGCAGGCCCTTCCCTTGGTTGGGGAGCCGGCGTGGCCAGCGCCTTGCACCCGGGGGTCCCAGCCCCACCTCAGTGGTGAGCAGCAGCACCAACTCCTCACCCAAGTGGTGGGGGCCTCAGCGGGGATGGGTAACCCCAGCCGCCCTGGCGGAGCCCCGCTGCTGCCCTGGGCTCCACGCCCCGCATCGCTGCCCTGGGCTCCACGCCCCGCATCGCTGACCTCGCCGTGCGAACAGAACTGCAAGATGCGGGTGATGGAGGCAAGATCAGCGTCACCGTTCGTCTGGGGAGGACAGAAGAGCAGAAACAGTTGCTTCCGGCGTCATGATGTAGGCCTCTGGCTGCCCGGGGAGGGCCCTGCAGGGTCCCGCCTGGACGGACAGATGAAGCCAGTATTGCCTCCCGCAGGGCGGCTGGAAGGGCAGGCTGTGGGTCTGTCTGCACGTGAGGGAGGGGACAGAGCTAAGGAGCAATCACGGACCCAAGTATCATCCTAGGTGGGGGCTGCGTGACGATTTAACTACAAGAGTCAGACATTTTCAGGTCTGAGGACTAGCAGCCGAAAGCAGCCTGCATATTCACGATTGGCCCTAAAATCCGCCCTGCACAGTGAGGTGGCTTGATATGCTGTAATCCTCGGAGCTTCTGCAGGCGCGTCTGTGAGACATGCTCCTTTGCACTACGGCAGTTATTGCCCTGCCTCACGGGAGGCTACGAGCCAGGCAGACAGGCTGAGAGAGGGGCCCGCCCATAAGTGTTAGGGGAAGGCGCTGCCTCTTTCCACAGGCCCCCTCCTTCCCTGGGCACACGTCACCCTGGATTCTCAGGAAGGGACAGGCAGATTTTTCACTACAGGTCTGGGAAACTGCCCCAGCCATCAAGCTAGACGGCTGTAAGCAAACTGTTTTACCAACTAGGCGCCATAGAAACAGGGCCTAGGGCCAATGAGCCTGAACAACGCTGTCTACAAAAATGCTTGAGACAGACCTGGTGGGGGATATTTTGCTCAAAATTAAATAAAGCTACAGATGTGAAATCAATAAATGTCTAATTAAACATACAGTCTCATATGTCAAACTCATCTGTCATGACATTTAATAATCATAAATATTTTTGCATCTGAAAACAATTTTACAGATCATATTTTCTCACTTTACAAGAAATCTCAAGGAAACATGATTATGAAGAGAGGCAATAAAAAATTAAGTTACCATCAAATATTTTCAAAAGCAGAATTATAAAAACACACCCAATATTTTAGGGGTGACTATATTTGTGTAATGTGGAATGTCAGTACACTTTACACATTTTAGTATGTTTGAAAGGATGTGGCATGCGGCTCCAAATACAAGGGGCAGACGTGGGCCTCAAAGGTCTCAAAACCTCACTGGCCTGAAGTTGTAACTGGTCCTATTGTGCCCACAGCAAGTGCAGCCTTGGTTTAGGCCCTGCGTACATGTCCAGCCTCAGCTGGCCTCTCCCTGCCCTCTCAGGGCTTCCCAATCCTCCTGCCACCCTGCCAGCCTCACTCCCCTGCCCCAGGCAAACACCTGAGGAAGGTAAAGGAGTCTCAGTGGTAGGCTCCTACAAGATTTTGCAAGCTTGGCTGATTCTAGCCTCCCAGAACACTGGCTGGGCTCTGCACTCTGCCAGGGAGCTTCCGGCCCTCTGCTAGTCAGACTTCCCCAAGGGTCATCTCTCCAGGCTTTTCCTCTCTCCATCAGAAATGCCTACTGTCTGGTTTTCTGAAAAAGCCCTGCACAAGCCCATCTTTGTCACTGTGAGTAGTGACAAGTCACAGGAAAGGAGAAATCGCCATAGCTCCTCCCTCAGGACCATGGGACAGTCCCCTGTGGGCGGGCTGGAGGGGCCATCTCCAGAGCTGAGGAGGAGAAAGATGAATAAAGGCTGCAGACAGGTCTATTGGTCCATGCCCAGCAAGTGTCCCAATAAACACACAAGAAACTGCCAGTAAGAGTCACCTCCGAAGCAGGAGAGGGGCTTTTTGGCTTAACTGTGCACCTGTTGTCAGTTGGACTGTATTTGCTTGGGACCTAACAGAGAAGGAAATTGTTTTAAAAGTATTTGAAATTAGAAATGTTCAGTTGGAAGCACTGAAGAAGTCAAGGAAAATTCAGAACTCTAGTGCATGTTCTCATACTTACACTAAGCTGTAAGGCTAGTGTAAACAAAACATTTGTCCCAGACCTGGACTTGGAAAAAATATCCTCCTGGGAAGAAATGGACATGCCTGACAAAATGCACAAACCATTTGCTGATGAAATTTCATGGGACTAAGATTTGTTCAGGGAATTGAGTTCCCCACCTACCCATTGGGGTATCAGGTACCATTTCACCAAACTTTTTAAATATATGTATTTGATCTTAAAATGATCACTAAAATATTCTCTTGCTCTATAAAATATCCTCTTGCTCTACTAAGAATAAATCTTTGAATTATCTTCCTAAAGATCTCTTCTTTTGCATGGGAGAATGTCATAAAATTTTGATATCTGCTCATGACTAAATTGTCTGAAAAGTTTTCTTTAACATTGCTGTTGTTTTTAAGGTAAGGGATGGGCATCATAAGCTTTCCAGGATTTAAGGTCTATAAGCCTGCTGGCTTCCTTACAATTGAATTACTTTATAAACAAATATGACATTTATAGATTCATTCCTTTAAAGACTGTAGTCAAAAGAATTCTGCTTTAATTACATTTCCCACATAGTCTGTTAAGGCACAATACTACTAAAGTATAATGTTCAAAAAAGTGAAACTATGACTCTCATGTAAATATAAACATGCACATGTCAAGGATTTTATTCAATTAATTAATAAAAAACCAGTAAGATGTAAGAATCAGTCTCAAGGTGAATTTGAAAAGCAGTCATATATGTATATGTATATGGAAATCAGGAATGCTGAAATAAATAATAGTTCCAAAACTGATTAATATTATCTAGGAAAATGAAATGCGATTTTGAGGTTAACTTTCTGCAGGGCAGAAGTCAATTGTATCTCGACTGACAATAGCAGTTGCATCTCTATCGACAAGCACTCCCAGCAGTCTGCAATTTCACTTCACCTTGTCAACAGGAGACAAAGGGACACAGTCTATAAAATAAGAGTGTTCTGACTGTGCCCAACACTCCACTAAAAGATAACCCAAAGATCTCTAGCCAATTCCCAAGTTTTGGATAATTTTCCCTAACAATAAACTGTTTTATCAACAGTTATACCATATCAAAAACCAAAGCATATAGTGATTGTAAATTATAAAAATTATAGATCAACAATCACTGACTCCCTTGCTTTCCTCTTTCTGATTTTATAATAACAAAATAATACATTCTAAATGATTTATAACTACAGTAAAGTTTCTATCTAAATCTCAATTTTTTTTTTTGGAAGAGGGAGAAACTGAAAAAATTAGTCTAGAGCCCACCTGGGAATAAAAACATCTGAAAATAGTCAAGAAAGTACCAAAAAAGAATTGCAGGAAAGAGGGTGTGTGTCAGTAGCTATCTAAGAAAAAAAAAAGTACAGACTTGCCTTCCTTGATGTTAGATATTGAAAGGCATTTGAAATTTATAATAGTAGAAACAGGAATAAATAGATCAATAATAGAAGACGCCAAACTAGACCAAATATAAGAATCCACTATTTGCTAGAGGTGACATTAAAATCAGTGGGCAAGTGATGAGTTATGAGACAGACTAGATACATAGATTTAAAAAAATTAAAAGACTAATAATGCATGAGTGGGAATTAGCTGGGCAGGGGTTGGGGAAGGAGCTTAGATGTCTTAGACGGAAGGCAGCCAGAGCAAAGGAATTGCAGTAAAGAAGGAAAAAGGTGCCATCAAGGGGAAGCAATGGGTCCCCACAAGAGCCTGATGCCTAACAGGGAAGGCTCAAGCCGAGGGAAGCAGAGGGTCCAGGCTTGCCCGCCTGGGATGGCTGTGATAAAAAGGCTCCAACTCCATCCTAAAGCCCAGGGCAAGCCTCAGAAGCTTCAAGTAGGAAATTGTCAGGGTCCAGTTTTCATTTGAGATGATCACTCTGCTGCCTGTTTAACGGTTAGATTCAAAGAGGTTAACAGAGACCATGTAGGGTACAGCTGCCTATGGAGAATTTTCCGGAAATATTTAGGAACAGGTGCCAGATTATAAAGTTTAAGGGAGGAATAGATGAAAAGAGATGGAAATTGTCAGCACAATCCTCTCGTCTGAGAATCTGGGTGGTGAGAGCAAGGAGAAAGGTGGGGGTGGTCGCTTAAAGGTGCGGCAGGTTCTAACAAAGGTGGGACAGAAAGGGAAGGAGAGAGGCGGGACCTTGGCAGCCGAACCAGAGCCTGGGCGGAGGTCCTTTGTCCTGGCTCTCACGTTCTCATCTGTACCAGCTTCTGGAACCTCTTTCTGAAAACAAAAAGGACAGATCCATTTACTGCCCTAAAAGGCTCAGAACCACCCCATCCACAGATTTCCTGCCCCTATTTTGCGTTATTCTCAGCGCTGGGAATAAAGCGGTGGGCTAGGCAGATGACGTCCGGCCCTCATGGGCTCCCGGCTTCGTGGGAGACAGTTGTCGGACGTCAGCCCAGAGCATCGTGGAGGCAGCGCCACCTGCCCCGCAGAAACCTGCCCAGGTGAGGGGGTGGGAGCGAGGGGTGCCCTCCCAGGAGGAGGCCTGGGGAGGAGGTGCCTGTCAGACGACAGTTTTCTGAAACTAGGACAGAATTTAGGGAATCGTGGGTAGGAAGTCACAGTTTCAGATTTAGAGATCCTGTAAAACAATGCCTGTTAGGAAAATGAATAAATGAAAGCAGCCTGTTGAGTTACCTCTTCTCAGTTATACAGGCCACAACAGGAATAAATAGATCAATAATAGAAGACGCCAAACTAGACCAAATATAAGAATCCACTATTTGCTAGAGGTGACATTAAAATCAGTGGGCAAGTGATGAGTTATGAGACAGACTAGATACATAGATTTAAAAAAATTAAAAGACTAATAATGCATGAGTGGGAATTAGCTGGGCAGGGGCTGGGGAAGGAGCTTAGATGTCTTAGACGGAAGGCAGCCAGAGCAAAGGAATTGCAGTAAAGAAGGAAAAAGGTGCCATCAAGGGGAAGCAATGGGTCCCCACAAGAGCCTGATGCCTAACAGGGAAGGCTCAAGCCGAGGGAAGCAGAGGGTCCAGGCTTGCCCGCCTGGGATGGCTGTGATAAAAAGGCTCCAACTCCATCCTAAAGCCCAGGGCAAGCCTCAGAAGCTTCAAGTAGGAAATTGTCAGGGTCCAGTTTTCATTTGAGATGATCACTCTGCTGCCTGTTTAACGGTTAGATTCAAAGAGGTTAACAGAGACCATGTAGGGTACAGCTGCCTATGGAGAATTTTCCGGAAATATTTAGGAACAGGTGCCAGATTATAAAGTTTAAGGGAGGAATAGATGAAAAGAGATGGAAATTGTCAGCACAATCCTCTCGTCTGAGAATCTGGGTGGTGAGAGCAAGGAGAAAGGTGGGGGTGGTCGCTTAAAGGTGCGGCAGGTTCTAACAAAGGTGGGACAGAAAGGGAAGGAGAGAGGCGGGACCTTGGCAGCCGAACCAGAGCCTGGGCGGAGGTCCTTTGTCCTGGCTCTCACGTTCTCATCTGTACCAGCTTCTGGAACCTCTTTCTGAAAACAAAAAGGACAGATCCATTTACTGCCCTAAAAGGCTCAGAACCACCCCATCCACAGATTTCCTGCCCCTATTTTGCGTTATTCTCAGCGCTGGGAATAAAGCGGTGGGCTAGGCAGATGACGTCCGGCCCTCATGGGCTCCCGGCTTCGTGGGAGACAGTTGTCGGACGTCAGCCCAGAGCATCGTGGAGGCAGCGCCACCTGCCCCGCAGAAACCTGCCCAGGTGAGGGGGTGGGAGCGAGGGGTGCCCTCCCAGGAGGAGGCCTGGGGAGGAGGTGCCTGTCAGAAGACAGTTTTCTGAAACTAGGACAGAATTTAGGGAATCGTGGGTAGGAAGTCACAGTTTCAGATTTAGAGATCCTGTAAAACAATGCCTGTTAGGAAAATGAATAAATGAAAGCAGCCTGTTGAGTTACCTCTTCTCAGTTATACAGGCCACTGAAAATTTGGGCTACAAATCAACTTTCTGTTGTTCCCAAATGGGGCCTGTCTTATTATATCAGCCACTTAATATTTATTTCTGAATGCCAAAAACAGAACTGAAGGATAAAATTAGTATTACACTACAGTTTCTGTTAAATTTCTAAGGAAAAAAGGGAAAATGACTCTCAGAACAGTCTGAGGCAAATGGCTGGGCTGTCTGATTCTAAATCTCACTGTAATTCAGTCCTTCCTCAAGCTGTCCCGACACCAGCTGGCCGGGGCCTGGGCCCCGGGGCGCAGCCCGAGCGAGCAGCAGCTGGCAGCCCGCATAAGGGACACACCGGCCCGGCGCGGCTGCAGCAGAACGCCGTGCGAGGGCTCGGGGAGCACAGCGTCCAGAGGAGGGGGATACCGGACGCCTCGCAGCGCCCCTCACGTCCCCGTCGGGAGGCTCTCCGGCTCCGCTCGGGGCGCACTGCCTCCTTCTCACATCTCTCCGGTGCCCGGTTCCGCGGATACTCATTTCTCCCCCTTCTTTTCCAACCTGCCCGCACTCCACCGGAGTAGCCACCCTGCCTCAGTGTTTTTCTGTATCCCAGCTGCAGGCAAAACACCTGGCAGGTGACAGGTGCTCCACAAATACTCGGTGAGACCTCCACAGACCCAGGCTCGCCCTCTGCCTCAGCCACCGTTCTGCTCTTGCCTCATCCACCCCCCACACTACATTCCTTCCTTCCTTCCTTCCTTTATCCCTTCCGTAAATACACACAGAGCACCTAAGTGCCAGGACCTGTTCTGAGAGCCGGGATACATGCCAATGACACCAAGTATTTATGGTTCTGTGCACAGCCAGAATCACCCCCAGGCTGAGTCCCTCCTGGCAAGTCTGAGTACCCTGCACCCCTCGGCTTGGGCACCATCTCCTCCAGGGATTCTTTCTGATCAGCTGGAGCCCAGGGCCCCTCCTCACAGCTCTCCCAGCACCACACCCAAATCCCTCCCAGCCCCAGCAGGCACTCAGCAAATCAGCTACGTGATGCACATCTACCTGATTAAACCACATTAGGTGATCTCTTGAAGACCTCTCTAGTACTATGATGTTTATATTTTGGTAACAGTTTTATTGAGATATAATTCACATGTTGAGATACAATTCGCCCTTTTGAAGTATAGAATTCAATGGCTTTTAGCATATTCACAGACATGCGCAAGCAGAATCACATTTCATCACCCCAAAAAGAAACGCTGGACTCCTTAGTTCTCCTGTGGATAAAGTGAAGGTTCCTGTGGCCACGATTCTCCCCAGGCCCTGGTTGGCTAACTCACTACACGCGTGTGGGCAATGCGTTGTTATTGATTCTATATATAAAGAGCTCTGCCCAGTGCTCCAGGCAACATGGTGGAACAGCTGCAAGGCTGCAGGAGAGCAGAGCAGAGGCTGGAGTGGTGGCAGCGCCGAGGACAGAGACTGAGATGACTGTGCGGACAGAGAGGCCCAGAGGCAGGGACCGGCTTGCTGTGTGCAGACTCGCTCTGAGTGGATGGGAGTCTAGTGATTGACCTGCCACAGTGGGAATAAAGTTGGGTATAACCCTTTCACCTCAAGAACGTTCTACTGTCATTTCTTTGGTCTCACTGAATCCATAGTGAACTTGTCTGGGAGTGAAACCCACTGGCAAGACGTCTCTCTTTCCATTTTCACACAATCTCCCACTGCTTGGTAAAGTCCACCTCCTTCCCATCCCTGCCTTCACCTGCTCAGACATTTCAAGCAAACGGAATCGTACAGCAAGTGCTCTGTTGGGTCTGGCTTCTTTCAGTGAATACTGTCAAGGTCCGTCCATAATGCAGGATGTATCAGTACTTCATTTTTTTATTGCCAAGTAGTATTTCATTGTATGAATATGCAGCATTGTACTCACCCCTCACCAGCTGATGGACATCTGGGTCACTTCCAGTTTGGGGCCACTATGAATAATGCTGCTATTGCTAATTCCTGAAGACGCGCATACAAGGTTTCCTGTAGGTATATTTTCCCTTCCATCGGGTGCACACATAGGAGTGGGATTGCTGGGTCACGTGATGACTGTGTTCAACCTTTTGACGAACTGCCAGGCTATATACAGTGGGGATGTTTTTCCATCACCCAAGTGAAACATGGACACCATTTGTCTTGGCCAAAGGATTGTGCCACTGCTGGCTGAAGATCTGGAATCAGAGCCCTTGCAACTAGAGGAGCTGCCCTGGGATACCTACCGTGCATAGCAAAGGCTGCCCTGCAGGCTGCCGAGCCCTGCCCTCAGCCACGGTCATTTTTCCTTTTAACTCACCATTTACTCCCCAATAACCTCTTATTCTTAAAATAGCGTGTGATCCTCGTATTTACTTTTGTCATCCAACTATAATTGTATGATAAACTATTGGCTGTAATAGGTTTGAGCATTTACATATTCATGACAACTACAGACTATTTAATGGTGTTTGATTTTTTTTTTTTTTTAAAGAAAATAAACCACTAACTCGCTTATCACACCCAAACTAATAAACACTGCATTATCTTTTAAAGTTCAGCCTCCTCTGGTCATTACCCTTCCAAAGACCTTCAGTGTCTGAGGCAGAGAACACCCTGGAGCTTGGCCCCCATGGCCCTCACCTCTGCCCTCCGTGTGCCCACTCTTATCTTGCACCACTCCCTGCACAAATTCCTGCTCTGTCCTCTCCTCTCCTGGACACACCTTCCTGAGTCTCTTTCCTGGCCCTCTGCCCTAAGTGTGCTCCCCCACCTTGTTTTTACGTAAGTAGGATTCCCCTTCCCAAGTCCACAGCAGCGTCAGTCTCCTCCGTGAAGCTTCCTTGACATCCACAAAGTGATCCCTTCCTCCTCTGGATTCTGCAGGGTTTCTCTTTGGCATACTTTTGTTTGACTGTGTTTTTATGGACATGCCATGTTCCCCACTAGGTCTGATGTCCTTTGAAGGCAAGATGATGTGGTGCCCTTTGCCCTATAGCCACAGTTTCTAGCCTACTGGGGTCTGAGGAAGGACAATTTTGCTAAAATGTTATTTTCATTTGTTTGATATTTAATAAGTGGCTTACTATAAACACATTTCTTTTTAATTACTCCAGTAATTCCCTGCATTCACCTAGTTCACTGGCACCTGGACTTCTGGGTAGGTGAATTTGTAATCAGTCTTCATTAAGTACCTGTTCTGTGCTTGTACTGGAAATAGGAGCTCAAACGACATGTTTACCCTCATAAACTTTGCCTTGAGCAATCTCCTTCATGACACTCTT